TCAGAATGAACATATCTTACGAAGAGTTGCGGACTGCAAATTGGAGGAGGACCAAAAGTTCATTTTCATCTCACATATTTAGGAAAATCTTGTTCATTCGAGGTTTTTATCGATGCACATTACATTTGGCGTGCAAAAGACGACAGGAGATACCGAGCAGACTTTTGTACAGTAAAACAACTGCTACCGAATCCCTTGAGGGAGCAGGGGAGGAGAGGGAGAGGCGGGAAGAGGGGGGAGGGGGAGGATCAGAAGGCCAATTTTGTTATCTAATTTAGCACAGTTCAGTCTGGAAACGATGCCGTATGTTATTCTGCTCAATTTAGCACAGTTCTTCTTGCTCGGTGCCGGTTGTTAAGAGGCACGAAAGAAACCAGTGATAGTTGAGTGATGAGGGAAATAAAGTATATTTGGCAGTTCCGTCAGAAAAGAAGAGAAAACAAAAAACGGACGTAAAATACCATCAAATATGCTGACATTGCAAACTGCTCTGCATTGAGACTGCAGCTAATCAAAAAATTAAAATCGGCTAAATTCATGCCAAATTTGATTTATAAATTTTTTTGTTTTGATTTTTTCAGAGCTGAGAAACGAAAAAAGCAAAGGATGTTGGCGCTAAAAAATCCGGAAAATGCAGAAGCCTTTATTGAAGTAAGTAAAGTTGAGAACTAAATTGTAATTTTAATACTAAATTTTTTGTAATTTTAATATAATTAAGCAAGTGAATTGAAAATTAAATCGCAAGTGAGACTGAAAGTTATATCATAAATCGTAATTTCAAGTTCTGTTTGAAAATAAAAAAAAAAATCGTAATTTTAGGGCAAACGTAGAATCCTGCGTATTTTGTTGGATTTAAAAGCTTATGAGGCAGCTGTTGACTATCAAAAAATCCGTGACGAATATATGACACGTTATAAGACTAATTTGAATGCTGTGGTAAGTTTTTTATCATTTTTTTTTTTGTGTTTTCTCCAGGGATTTGAAATATTTTGAAAAGGCTTTTTGGCA